AAACTCTCTTCTATAAACAGAGATCATTCTCTCACAATATTTCCTGATGTCATTTGTACTAAATCATTCACTAGTACTCACTAAAGGAGAGCTTGAACCTATGTACTTGTGTAAACCTTTCACAATTAATGAGAACTCCTCTACTCCGTGGACGTAGCCAATCTGGGTGAACCACGTACATCTTGTGTTTAATTCCCTGTCCCTGTCCATTTACATATTTATCCATACTAATGACCAGAGCAATCTAGCGAAGGTTATAAACTTAACACTTTCTGTTGTACCAAAGTCCTCACTGATTTTATGCATTAACACACTACATAAACTTAATAATCATATCTATCATCTTCACTTGGTGATGAACTTCGTTGAAATCTTGGGATATAGGGTTCAGAGGATTCATCATCTTGAAACATACTCTTTGAGGTAGACTTTCGCAAAATTTCCTTTGGCTTACCACGTAAGAACTTCTTCCTCTCTGGAGTTTATTTGTTGAGGTCCTCCATCATGAATTCAATTTCAAACCTATCTTGCTCCCTATCTGAGATTTCCTTCATTTGCAAACGCATTCGGGCCGTTTCTTCTTGGCGAGCGCTATGGGTTTCGTTCAATTTTGCAATTCCGGTACCAAAGTGTCTACTCATCGATCTTGGGACTTCCCTTTTCTCTTTGCTTCCTTTTGCTTATCTCTTCCCGGGGGCCTTGCAAAAGAAGGAGATGGGGTCATTTCATCGACACCTTCATATTCGGCATTTGTCTGTGCATCTTCACGTTGAAATAATCTTCCCCATTGTTGGTCTGCATCGGTTCCCCACCTCGGACAATCCTTGAGGACGTCCCAAGCATGTTGCAACTTGAAAACTTGATTTTTTGGTGTTACTCTTGTCTTGTAAATTTCCATTGCTTTGTCACCCTATGCAAAAAATACATAAAAATAATTAGTTGCGAAATAATATTATGTACATGACAAATAAAATATCAAGAACAAAACTCACAATTTATGTGGCGCTCCTTCCACTAGCCATGCCAACCACGACTCTTTCCAAGCTTCCATTCCATAAAGTGCATGCTTTGTTGATAGTCTTCCACCGATCATAAACACCACCACCATCCCACCCGCCGCCATTGTAGTTTTCTTGAAACTTTGCAATGATTTTATCCCACAAAACCTTCTTATTTTGATTTGTGCCAACTGCACCATCTTCGCTAATAGAAACCTATGCCAAGAATAAAGCAACATCTTCCTCACAGGTCCAATTACGACCTCTAATATGCTCTCTTGTCATGTTGAACAATTTGGAAATGGAAAGAAATGATAGAAAGATAAATTGGAAGAATTGTACGAGAAAATTGAGTTTTGTGTGGATGTTTGAACAAATACATAGGTATTTATAAAGTTTTTGGGTGAATTTTGAGTTAAATAATTTTTTTAAATTATTTTAGCCGTTGGATTTAAATTTGGGCCGTTAGATTTTTTTATTTTTTTTTACCATTAGATTTGATTACAATCTCAACCGTTGGATTCAATGTATTTTAAAATAACATATTATTAAAAATGAAATTTGAATTTGGACCGTTGGATCAACCAACGGTCCTTAAATCACAGCCTTTGGATGTAATTATAGCCATTGGGAGCCCAAGTGGGTGGCCGACACACGGCCTGACAGAGGGGCCCACCCTGTCGGGAAACCCTTGTAGGCGCACGCGTGGGGCGCATTGGAGCGTGGACGGGCCGAGATTGGCCCAATTGCCAGCGAGTCCACTCGCACATGGGGGAATTTTGGGGGTGGGGGTATTTGGCCCAGCTTTAGCATTTGGCTTTTAGCCCAATGTTTTAGCTTGGGTTGGAGAGTGTTTTGGGTGGGGGGGGGGGAATTTGGGAGAAAATTTGACATTTAACTCACCATTGAAGTTGGTCTAAAAATGCTTAATTATCTCTCATATGCTCTCCCATGGCTGATGACTGGTGACCGACAAAAACCTTAGCTTCGGATCAGACCTCAAAGCCAACCAATTCTCTCTCTCTCTCTCTCTCTCTCTCTCTCTCTCTCTCTCCATTTTCTTAACTCAACCCAAAAATACAACAGCTCTACTCAACACACAAAAGTAAAGAAAAAGAGCCGTTTCTCTCTGTTTCCTTTCTGTCACACACACTCTCTCTATAGCTTCTGGTTTCCTCTTCTTCTTCTTCTTCCTTTCTCTCTCTTTGTGATAATGTAAATCGAGGAAAAGCTAAGGAGAAAAATTTTGGCTTTAAATTTGTGAAAAACACTCTAAAGTGTTGGAAGAAATGCCTTCCCTGAGTTTTTTTACTGTGCTTCTCATCCACATTGGCTTGTTTGTGAGCTTTTCTTCTGCTGAGGATCCAAATATTTTCTATAACTTTGAGGTCTCATATATTACTGCTTCTCCTCTCGGTGTCCCTCAACACGTATGCTTCTTCTCTAGCTGCATTCTCTCTTTCTCTAGATTATTTACTTTCTCTCACTACTTTAAGGTAATCTATTTAATTTTTGGTGTGGTCTACTTATTTTTCATCAACGAAAAAAGGGTTGCCTTTAGATTTCTGAAAGTTTGAATCTTTAGCTTCAGATCTGCTAAATATGCTTAAATTTTCAAAATCTGAGATTAGGGTTTTACTTGTAAACTTACAGTGATATAAAGTAGTGATCTTTTGAGCTAATTGTTTCTAAATCTGCATTACCTTGTAGGTTATTGCCATTAATGGCAAGTTCCCAGGTCCAACTATTAATGTGACAACTAACAACAATGTCATTGTTAATGTTCGGAACAAATTGGACGAGAATCTCCTCATGACCTGGTATGATTTGCTTATTGTAATGTGGACATGAATTTCAAGCAGATGCATTACATTAGTGCACATGGATTGGTTTTTTGAAGTTGATTATGTTCAACAGGGCCGGAATTCAGCAACGGCATAGTTCATGGCAAGATGGGGTTCTCGGAACCAACTGTCCAATTCTGCCAAAGTGGAATTGGACTTATAATTTTCAGGTTAAGGATCAGGTTGGGAGCTTCTTTTACTTCCCGTCCCTTAATATGCAGAGAGCGTCTGGAGGATTTGGCGGATTTATTATTAATAACCGGGCTATAATTCCAATTCCTTTTGCAAACCCGGATGGTGATATTACTATCTTGATTGGTGACTGGTACACAAAGAACCATACGGTTAGTGCTTGGTGGAGTTTTGTTCTTCTCTTCAAAGTACATATTTGAGATTAGTGTGTAACATGTTTGACAATGATGGTTCTTTTTCGGAATTGTAGGCTTTGAGGAAGATGCTTGATGAGGGGAAAGACCTTGGGATGCCCGATGGCGTTCTTATCAATGGGAAAGGGCCTTACCAATACAACACTACACTTGTTCCCGATGGCATTGAATACGAAACACTTGAAGTACATCCAGGTGGGAAATTTTAGCTTGCTATTTTATGAATAATCATGTACTGAGTAATAATTTAACTTTGAATGTTGCAAGTCGAAATTTAGAATTGATCTGCGCATGCAAAACCATATGAGAATCTTGTGGAGTTTATTTTGTTGCTGTAGTCATGCTCATAGTAACATTTAAAACTGTTTTAAGGCTGGCACGCCAGTCATAATTAGGGTTTTTTAAGGGAAAGATTCATGACAGGATGGGGCTTGAAAATTTATTTCTAAGCATAAAGACTTGTCAAGTATTTCATATGTCAATAAGTAATTTCGAAAATGTGATTTCTATAAGCTTGTATACATTTAGTTGAATTATACAGACTTAAGGCAATGACGTAATATTTGTACAGGGAAAACTTACCGTCTTCGCATACACAATGTTGGGATCTCAACTACTCTAAATTTCAGGATCCAGAACCATAATCTGCTTCTAGCAGAGTCAGAGGGCTCATATACAGTGCAACAGAATTATACAAGCTTAGACATACACGTTGGACAATCTTATTCTTTTCTAGTAACCATGGATCAGAATGCAAGTTCTGATTATTACATTGTAGCGAGTGCTAGATTTGTCAATGAGTCAAATTGGAAAAGAGTTACTGGAGTTGGGATCCTGCACTATACTAATTCCAAAGGAAAGGCAGCTGGCCCCCTTCCAGTGGGACCACAAGATGAATTTGATAAAACATACTCAATGAACCAGGCAAGATCTATCAGGTTTGTTTTCAGTTTCTCTTCTTTATATTTAGATTCAGTGCCACGACATTTCCATGGTTTGGATTTTTTTATATCCTTGAATTCATTTTCAAAACTTCATAAATAAATGTTCAGGATATGATATAAGACAGGAAACTATGATCGAAATTGAAGAATCCTAACCGGTTTTTCCACATCAAACCTCTTTCTGAAACATTTATGGGCTAATTTTGCAGATGGAATGTATCAGCTAGTGGTGCACGTCCTAATCCACAGGGGTCTTTCAGATATGGATCAATCAATGTAACTGATGTTTATGTGTTGAAAAATAAGCCACCTGTAATGATCAATGGGAAACGGCAAGCAACACTCAGTGGAATCTCATTTAAAAATCCTTCCACACCAATCAGGCTAGCTGATTGGTTCAAAGTGAAGAATGCTTATACGCTTGACTTCCCAACGAGGCCACTTACAGGGGCACCAAAACTGGAAACTTCTGTGATCAATGCAACATTTAGAGGATTTATAGAAATCATACTGCAGAACAACGACACCAAAATGCAGAGCTACCATGTGGATGGATATGCATTCTTTGTTGTCGGGTAGGCATGCATCAAACATGTGTAAATAAGAGTTCTTGTTCCCTTCAATGCTTTAATATGCATTCATTAATCGCAGGATGGACTACGGTGAGTGGACAGAGAATAGCAGGGGTACATATAATAAATGGGATGGAATAGCCCGGTCCACAGTACAGGTATATTACCGCGATTCTGCTTCAATCTAATTTGGTTCCTCCTAAAACCCTTCCTGGTTTGTCTGTCAACTCTTTCGTACTTATTTTTGATATTATGTATGTAGAATATGCGTGATCACTACTTCTATCCAATTAAAAATAAGCATGATTCATAATGTATGAACAGTAAGAACGAGCATTCTTATTTAAAGTAGTACTCACGTGTAAAAAAACTATATTTATTGACGGAATTGAAGATGCAGTATTCACAGCCAAAACGGAAAACTCGATATAGTTTCATTGTCGAATAAAAAAAGACATTAATCATAAGTCCTTGTATAATTTCTAATATAATAACATGATACCTGATGGTGCTCAACACCTATAGATGATTGCGTAAACTATATTGAATTGCATTTACTGTATTATAGTAAAGAGATAAGGGGTCTTGGAACATACATTTCTTTGGTTAATGCTGTATATATTTGTATCATGTGGTATCCGATCTTGATTCCCTCTTTGCGTGTATGTAGGTTTATCCTGGGGCATGGTCAGCCATCTTGATTTCTCTTGACAATGTTGGAATCTGGAACATTAGAACTGAAAACCTTGACTCATGGTATCTTGGCCAAGAAACTTATATGCGGGTTGTCAATCCGGAAGCGAATAACAAAACTGAGCTGCCCATACCAGACAATTCTCTATATTGTGGTGCCCTCGACAAATTGCAGAAGTATGTGCTGTGGCCTAATGTATTAAACCCTCGCAAGTCATTAATGATTAATACCAATTCTAACTATACATTTTCTTTTGTTTTTCAGGCCGCAAGATATCTCTTCTGCAACATCAATCACCGCCACTAGATCAAAAATTTTCTTCGTGTTGCTGATGATCATCTACACTTTGGTTCCCTTTTTCCACTAATGGTTTTGGTTTTCCGTGGCTGTGTCCCAGATATGTTTTCTTGGAGCATGGTTTCTTAGTGAGAGAGGCTTGCGGTTGAGTGTTGTTTAGGTTTGTAAGATTAGTCTTGTTGATAAGAATCTTCAGTAAGTTTGACTTGCTTTTCTCACTCTTTTTTTTGGGTACGCTGTCGATGCACCACGGCTTCTTCGTTTAATTTATTGGGATTATGATTTTTTTTTTTTTTTTTTGTGGTCAAGTATTTATGATTCTTTTGTTACCTATAACTTGTGTAATGTTGACAATGAACTCATCAATTCAAATACAATGCAACTTCCTACCTTAATTCCTTTGACCCCACTGGTATAATTCAAATTTTCTGAACAGAAGATTTGTTGTTTTTACATTTTTGGCCTTTCCCATTGAAATTCACGGGTCTGATTCTGCTATTTTTTGTGTGGTCCTGGGATGCTTTATTGTCTTTTCATGTTTTAAGCAGCTGTTCATAGATCTTGATGATATCTGAAGTACAATTGTATTTTGATCCAGAAAAAATATATTTGTTTTTGAAGAAACATGATTGGTAAATCCAAGTGGGAGGAATGAGGATGGGGTGGGGGATCGGAACATTCGAATATTGCTTGCATCGCAACTTGCAGGACTCTGGCTCTGCCTGGAATCAAAATTGTCTTGCAATGTAGACAAACGCACAGATCTGGAATTAACATTCATATAAATAAAAAATAAAAAAAAAACCCTAGATGATCTGGTAAAATATCAAAAAACCACTCTTTTTGTTGGATAATATTGCAGGTTAGGTTATACGGCTTAGAAACTGGACTGGAATAATTGTGTTTGTTTGCCCTCAATAGTTTTTAATGGATTGGACTAAGTGTTGGTACAGTCATGTGTTTGTTTCTTGCATAGACTAGCTTTAATGAGACTCGGCTTGACTAAACGCTTCGCTAGAGGGTCTTAGCGAGAACCTTGAAATCTAGTGGACTACTAAAACCAACTTTGCTTCGCTTTGCCTCTCCAATCTACTTCTTCCTCGCTTTCCATAATCATTTTCAAATCCAGATCTCAGAAAATTCAAAACAAAAAAAGCAAAAAAATCTATTGTGTTTGTTTGCCCTCAATAGTTTTTAATGGATTGGACTAAGTGTTGGTACAATCATGTGTTTGTTTCTTGCATAGACTAGCTTTAATGAGACTCGGCTTGACTAAACGCTTCGCTAGAGGGTCTTAGTGAGACCCTTGAAATCTAGTGGACTACTAAAACCAACTTTGCTTCGCTTTGCCTCTCCAATCTACTTCTTCCTCGCTTTCCATAATCATTTTCAAATCCAGATCTTAGAAAATTCGAAACAAAAAAGCAAAAAAATCTACAGTCATTCTATTTTCAAAATCAAATCCAACTCTCAAAATTGATACCAAAAATCCTAAAAAAATATGTAGCGGGATGAGCTTGAAATCAACGACTGCAAACTTACCCCATCTCCTAGAAAACCTTGATCGCCGACCTTATCATCTTCCACCTTTGAGCCAATCACACATGCACCTAGCCCCCAATTCTTAAATTTTTAATCTATTTCTTGCACTGTGGTTTGATTTTAAAAATTTGTAGTTGATTAAGAAGTTGTGGGAGGAAGTGAAGAGTGAGAAAGAGATTGACACAAAAAAAAGTCGTTCTCTTCTAAAAACGTAATGGCAGAAAATAGTTTCATTTTAATGGAATGGTAGATAATATTATGTGAAACATTAATTAGGTTAATTATTATTATATATCTGTTTTTTTAAGGAAAAAATAAATTAAAAATGAAAAAAAAACAAGTCTACAGTTTAGTCTGCATCAAATACTTCACCATTCTTATCTTGCTTAGTTTAAGTCAAGCCAGACCATCTTAGTCTCTGAAACAAATTTAGTCCGAAATAATTTGGTGCAACAAACACTAAAAGAGGTTTGGATGTTAGCAGCTGAAACAGTTGGTTTTTTTCTTGAGTAATGCCACCCAATTTATCGAGGCCTAAGGCTTCTTAGCAAAGTTTTCTCCTTTCCTTCACGATGAATTCTTTAAAAATAGTATGATTTCCGCACACCTTTTTCTTTTTATATACACAATCATATTTGTTCTTGTCTTCATTGAATCTCCTTTTATGTGTGGGAAAATCACTTAGACTTTTGAAAAGCTGAGCAGAGGAAATAGATTTGCTCAAGGTATTCTAGCATCAGGCTTTTGTAAATACCTCTATACTTGGTTGAAATTGATATTGGTTGATTTTGAATGACTTTCTTTGTAAAATGGAACGTTAGACGAATCCTCTCAACTCATGGCTACCTAAATGATAACTGGGCCCAAGGAGACATGCATATGTTTTGATATTCCCAAGCAGCCCAACCAAAATATATACAATTTGAAACTCTTTGAATCTTTCCTTCCCCTTACCTTTAGCGTAGGTTAGCACAAAAGAAAGTTGCTTAATTCTATAACCCACTGCGTTTTGAAATATACTAGCTATAAGTACCCGCGCGTTGCTGCATATTTTAAAACACGATGAAATCGTGTATCAAAGATTTGAAAAATGGTTTCGCAAAACAGCAACAATACTGATAATAGATAAATTGCAAAAGCTTCGTAGAGAAAAGGTTCAATTTTGTCAAATTAGGAACAAACATGAAAGTTTTCAATTAGATTACAGTGGTTAGAATTGTGTTTGGACCAGCATCATCATATTTACACACAAAAAATGAGCAGATACTTTCATATGGAGATACAAAAAATATTACAGCTATATATGTTGCTTTAACAGTTCCATGTGTCCTAAATAAGGTATTAAATATCGATGATATCGGAAATATCGGTAGTCCAAAAACACGGAAATTTCGATGGAAATATCGGGATATTATCGATATTGATAAAAATTGAATAAAAACCACGGAAATTGTAAGAAAAACTTGGAAATTTTTATTGAAACTTTGCAGGATGTTTATTTAGTCAATTATCTATTAGTTTATCACAAAAAATTGGAAGGAAATGCATTGCATGATAGATATAACTGATTTAAGTTGATTATATAGCGAGCTGGCAAACATTGTGAGTGTAGAAAATATGTAGTAATTAATGAAAGAAGTTTAAACACACCATAATAATTTATATATAATGAATTAGTACAATATTTTACACTTTATACGTTGTATGGTAAGATACATGAGTGACTTAGCAAGGTCTAAAATATTGACGATATCAGAAATATCGGTAGTCCAAAAACACGGAAATTTCGATGGAAATATCGGGATATTATGAATATTTTAGACCATGGTCCTAAAAACTAAATCAGCTTCTGTACACAAAAAATTAACAAACGCTGGTATATGGAGGGGCAAAAAAAATTGTCTAGTTCTGAGCAGAAAGAGATATTTACAAACTCCTAAACATGTTAGATGTTGTTCAACGTATAATAACAAGGGATGCAAAATATCCTTCAACAGAGCAGGAGAAGTGTTGTTGCAGTAGTTCTCACAACAATTTTTTTTCAAAGCACAGCAATACCAAACCAGCCCTTAATATTACCAAACCAAGCTGTACAGACAAAAAAAGAATGGAAAGCATTTAGACAGTAATCAGAGTCACATTGAAGCAGATATGAAGCAAAAAAAAATGAGCAAAATGAAAGCATACTTGGTCCTTTTTTGAAACAACGGTATCTGTTTTTGTGGTAGTCAGAGACGATTTTTTTTTCTAGTGATTTGATAGGGATTTCATCAAATTCTTTTGGGTCAACTTTTGAAATTTCTTTTGCTTCATTTTTTAAATGCGTATACCAAATGAACACATTTGATTGCCAGATGATAAAAAATGTTGCCTAAGTGTAATTCATTGTATTGTTTACTTAGAAAATTTTTCTTGAAAAAAAGGAAGATGTTTCACCGGTATATTTCAAACAAAGCAAGATCGATAATAGATGTCAATTTTTTAACATAGACAAGTAAAACGAAAGCATCGGATTTGATGATAGCATGGAAGCCGAATCCAAACCTCTGTTCATTGCCAATAAAAAGGGCTCTCCTCACATATTCCCTCTTTCGTTTATGTGATTGACCGCTTGTTTCAGGTGGTGAGGTCGAAGATGATACAGTAGTGGAAGATATTGTCGTTTCTCTTGGTAACATTTTGGGGTTATTGGTTCCATAGCTGCATCGCTAGAGACATTTTAAATTAGCACATCACTTGAGTTGAAAAGTATTCCTTCTATTTTTGAATTGCAAGTGAAAGATCTTTTGGCCAATCAATCTCCAAAACTCATTTGGCAACTGCTGTTGGTCAACCAATCTCTGGTTCAAGACTAAATCTTTGCAAGGCATACCAAACAGTTTTTATCCAGACTTGCTAATTATCAAAGCATTGATTTCATTAGTGTTGTCTTCAAGAATTAAATTAACTTTATACCTATATTTAAAAATTGAATTGCATCAAATTTTCATGCTTTATAACTCATTGGTCACAAACAAAATAAAGAACTTGAAATAATAGAGGTTACATAATTGAAGCGATTTTTGACTTGTAAAGAAACAACACAGTGTCGAAAATCCCAAAAAAAAAAAGAAAAAAAATAGAAAGAGAGAAAACAATAAACTTGCATATTAAACATTATCAAGGTGTTGGTATCTGATTGGGGTGTTTCTGACAAATGAGTTGTCCGGTTGTTGGATCTTTGTGCGTTTGCTTGACATAGTTGGGGCATGCACTATACCACCAATTATAACGTGTGTCAAAACGTTTCACTGATGGCTTACACAGGAATGTATCATTCTGTAAAATGTTTTGTCACATATGTCTAGCAAAAAAAGTAAGAACAAACTTAGTTTTTGTTAAATATGTAACAATGTAAATGCTTGCTCTTAAAAAAAGATACTAGCACATAAATCATTTTTATACCTTATATAGATCAAGATCTAAAAAGACCACCTCATCTATTGTTACTCTCCTTGCAGTGCATAGAGCTTCAACCTTATTCACTTGTCTTGAAGAAGGAGGCAGTACTTGCACAGCACCTTTATAGGCTGAGAACTTGTAAGTTTAAAAACAGAGTAAGCAATTTTGAAAAATGAGTTTGTTTGCAGGTATAAATAGGAAGCACAATTTTAGACATCCACTCACATTGATTTGTATGAGTTAACCTCTAGGATGTCTAGGTCAATGAAAAAAAGTGAGGAACCAGTACTATTCAAGATGACCTTGTCTATTGATCCCAAAAAATAATAACAAATTATAAAACAAAAATCAGTAAATATCAGAGATGAGTAAACATTTTCAATTTGATGATACATGTTTAAAAGTGATGTTGATGCACAAA